GAGGGCTCCCTGACCTGACCCTGGGGGCAAACGACAGGTTTGCAATGGCTATTAACGTCCTGCCACATGGGTCTCCCAATCTTTGACACCGCTCTCTGAGCGGATCCAGGGGCTGTGTTTTGCCAGCAGGACCCTTCTCCTCAGCAAGGCGGTGCTGGCCACAGCGAGCAAGGGAGACAGACGGTAGGTCCAGCCTCTGGGCCAGGGAAACTACCCGGCCCCTTCCTCCCACACCATGACGGCTTTGCCAGACACTCCGAGCCCTTGGGCACGTTGAGAGCCAATATCCGCCCCCAATACCCGTGCACTCCCTCTCCTGCCACAAAAGGGAAACAGCCCTTAAAAGTACACCTTGACCTCAAAAACAATAAATCTGGGCATTCCTCTTCCGTTTCCCCATCCGGACCGGGTCGCAACAAGTACTTTTGGCCAAGCAGACATTCTGACTTAAAGCAAGGGCTGCACTCTCACATTTACCTCGGCATTTTCTCACGACTGACAACGAAATTGGGAGAGCCGCCAAATCTGTGCTGCATCTGTGTAATTCTCTGAGATACTCCAGAATAAGCAAGCCTCGTGCACCACGGAGACAAGAATATGCCGTGCTTCAGCCACTGTCACGAGGTCTAAGCAATGCGTGGACATACAGCTCGCTTCTCAGACACCTTCGGAACAGCCACAGTGAACGTTCGTTTGCAGCAAGCCACTGGGGCTAACGATGGAAGACCTGTGTTTTTGATTTGTGACTGACTGTGAACCAGGCAACCCGCTGGCTTGACTGATGTCATAGGCTGGAATAATTGATTGGCACGGCCCCGCTTCCTCTGCTGACCCAGACCCCAGGTGTTGGTTTGCGGTTTTCTTATTTATTTTATTTTCTCCCGTGTTTCTGTGATGTGGGAAATGGAGTGCTGCATTGCCTTAAAGCCCACCACCGCATTGCCCCTAGTTATGACGTGTTAAAGTTACAATCCAATTCACTAAGGGAAAAAGCATTACTCTTCCACTTGACTGCTGTTTATTATTCACCAGATACAGAGAATCACTCATGCTCGAATACCAGGGAATCACATATGGGGGAAACAGTCATGCGCAGACCAAACGGAGAAGGACATTTCTCCTGAGCTACCACTTGGCATTAATGTGAATTGCAACAAATGGATCTTCAGCATTGTTACTAATCTGGAAATTAGCCACTCCATCGCCAGAAACATACACCTGTTTTCCAGTACATTTGTTGCCCTCCTTTTGTCCAGAAATAACATCACAGTAGGTACCAGCAGGCAGTCCAGTTTGCAAATTGACATTCATATTCCTATGTGAAAATAAGTGAACGCTATTTATCCGTTGTTTTCAAAACAGGTATTTCAAACTGCGTATAGGATTTTTGAACCTGATGCTACTCCCTTACTTTGAAGGGCAATGTAAAGTGTGAGCTTTCTGATCCTATCCCTGCTTCGCTCCCTACGCTCCCGTTTTGGCTCTCTAGACCTGGCATGCAACCGGATGACTAGTTCAGGCTGTAGTGATCGCTCTCACCAGGAGAAGAGGACATTCCCCTTCCCATCAGTATTGATGATGAGGGATGCTATGCTTCTCTCTGGGGACACGGTCTCTCCCACTGACTTACCAGTCATCATTATTGAAAACGATGAAGCCTTTATTACCACGGCCAAAAGCTACTTGATTGCTGCCGTTGTCCCACCAGTTGGAGAAAGGCTGACCGTCTACCACATTACGGAAGATAACCATGTTCCTGAAAATGCAAGGAACAGCTGTCACTGTGGCTGCAAGAGCTCTAAAACCATGAGGAACATGAAGCAAAAGCAACCGCTTTTACTTATTTTCCCTCCAGTGTCCTACTTTATTTGACGCCAGCGATGTTCACAAACCCAGTCGTTGCCACAGGTAGTGTCTGCATTGATTGTAACAGGCTTTGTTGATCCATCCGAGTTACTTGGTGGTCCAATCCAGTCATTGACGTCCTGTAATTAAAGAGAGAAGTTTAAAACTTCTTGCTGAAAAGGCAGAGAGCCGATCTGGAGAGAAAAGCTAGATGGAGCATCAAATTTCCACCTGCTAGATCCAACATGGGACAGAGAAATCACTTAACAAATTTAAATGCGCTGGACTGCTTCTCTGGCGCTGTTCTGATCCTTATTCACCGCGATTTTATCTTGTGCATTACGAGCTTACCCGTCCATTTACAAAAGATCTTGGCCAGCGAAAACTTGACATCACACGTGTGAACCCATACGGATGAGCAAGCATGAAACCGACTGCCATTTTATAAAGCCTGTTCGTTAGACAAAAAAAGTAATGAGATGTGGAAAGAGAAACCGTGCCAGGGAACCGATAGACAAACAAGCAAAAGGAAGAAGCATCACCCAGACAAGAGCAATCCCTTACCTGGGGTCCCAGAAGGTTAAAATGGAAGCTCCACCGGCCCCATGGCCCCGCTGGTTGTCGTGATTATCCACAAAGACCAGGGCTCTGTCGGAAGGCACAAAGCCCCAGCCTTCTCCCCAGTTCCTAGCCAAAAAACACAAAGACCTGAAGCTACCCTGTCAACTGGCACATCCAGCATATCCCGAGTAAGTCACGGGATGTTCATCCTTACTTTAAGTAGGCCATCTTTTCTCCGTTCCACTTGCGGATCACCGTCCCCAGTTTTGCACCGTATTTGAATTCTGTCACTCGGCCATTTCCAAAGTAGTCACTGCCTTTGATCGGCTCTCCGCCCAAGTCAATTACCTGGTACAGGAAAGACAGAGCATTCCTTTCTACTTAAAAAAACAAACAAGTAAAAGGCATTGCCCTAGACATTGTTTTTACGAAGAAGCACTATTGAGCGAAGTGTATTATTTGGCTGACTTGCAAAATCGTACTTAAAGCTATTTTCTTCATTTTATCTCAGCCTAGCTGTGAATTTGTTTTCCATCTCCATCCTAAATCTCCTTACCCTGATTAATCACTACCGCATAATTAAGGCTTGGGCCACACCAACTTCATATTTAGTCTAGTCACCAGTGCCTCTGCTTCCAGCACATGGGCAACCTCATTTCTCTATGTAGCTATTTCTCTATGTAGTACGTTTCGCTATTTGCCCTAGACCTTGCAGGCAATGTACTGATTTAATAAAATGTGTCTAGCAGCTTTAGCTTCTGCTGACTGAAACCAACAATTACCTGCTTCTTAGGTCTTGTTAGCATTTGTTACTCAAACTTAAAACACAAATTCAGAACGTCAAGTAACGCTGGTTATGCCATTGGAAAACAAGGTTTCAGACCGTAATCACCATTTATATCTTCCGTTGCAATTTATTATCCAGAATTTAAAATTCAGGGAGTGAAATCTCTTTTTTAAACCCATAGAAGTTTTACACTAACTTTGATGCAGTAAATTTCATCTCAAGTGAAATTTCCAGGTTACCTAGTTCCAGAAGGTCCAAACAGCTGGGGCGTTTTGCATGCCAATGACCATTTGTGGGCAGATTAGATATTTGTAAATTACGGTTATTAGATCTCGATGACGATTTCTATAGATCTTGAGTCTGAAAGCTGCTCGGGCCCAGCTCAAGCAAAGCATCGCTTCCAGTGAGGGACTGAGCCTGTACTGTGCCTGCAAGAAACATGTTTGTAAGTACAGTTAAAAAAAAAAAAAAA